TATAGATACCCCTGCAATCGCAGCAAATGGATTGTTGAACAAGCGTACGTATTTGGTGACACTATGTGTAAGGGCAAAAGAATTCTTGCCATCTAGATGTTCATCAACGGAGGACCACTCAACAGAAAGCAAAGCTACTCAATACAGTCCTACGCTGCCCAGAGAATGGAAAATGTCTCTCGGTGTCACAAGCAAATAAAATAAAAAATGGCTTGGAGCAAGATACTTTCTCACATGGTGAATAGGACATGTAGAAAGGTGGGAGGGAGATGTAGATGAAAGGTAGTAGATTTCTGTTCTCCCATTGTTCATCGATTTGCTCGAGCGGGCCCAGTAACGTCTCCATTTTGAAACTTGTTGTTACTGTGTTTGGCATATCGAATACGTCACGGGGAGCTTGCCAGGCTTTGCCGTGCGGGCGAGATACTCTCGGTAGCTTGCTGGGCTCTCCGAGAGGGGTGGAGGAATCGAACCCGGCTCAGCTGGGTTGGCTGCGTGCAAGGCAAACGCCCTACCTGCTGTGCTATCGCTCCAGCCCTGAGCTGACACGGGTTTGATTCCCAGCATCCCATATGGTCCCCTGAGCACCGCCAGGAATACTTCCTGAGTGCATGGGTAATTCCTGAGTGCACGGGCCAGGAGTGACCCCTGAGCATCGCAGGATGTGACCTCAAAAGGCAAAAAAAAAAAAGACAGTAGATTAAGACCATTTATAGAATGAAATGAATGGGAAAAAAAGATAAGTTGCTGTATTCACAGTTCCTGGGTACCCAGCTAGCATCCATCCACACTCTGTTAGCCTGACAGGCCACTTGGGTAGGGCTACTTAGGCCACACAGCAGAGTAGAGGGGGCCCTGCTCTGGTCAGGAGCTGAGCAAGGATCTCACATTGGCCTCTAGGGCCCCTTTGCTTGCTGCCTCCTCCTGTTTTTCAGCAAGTGGTGTTGCCTGAAACATACCAGCAGCTCTTTTCCCAGGCCATTTAAACCATAACTTGCTTCCTGACACAGGGTTTCTTGGGACTGTGGTCAGGTTTCTGCCTTTCCCTCCCTTTATCCATTTTCCAATTCTCTTCACCCCACTGGGGCCAGGAACCTTGACCCATGCCCTTGTATTTCCTCATAAGTGTGGGGTCTTGTTGGCCTGAGACATTTTGCTACAAAGCTCTGTCTGCTCCTGACCTCTCTTAGCTCCCAAAGTCTCTCAGTCTTTCTCTGTCTTACGGACCACAAGGAAGACCTGGCCCTCTCTCTCCCCTACCCAGCTCCCACCCAGGACTCACTTAAAGCTCTGATTTTCCTCATGTCCCAGACCACAGCTATTTCTTAGTAAGGAAGGATGGCTAGGAGGCCATCAGCACTATTGTTGATAATCTCAATTGTACGTCACAGTGCATGAATTAAATGCTTACTATGTGTTTCTGGAGATCCAGCAGAATAAGACAAAGTATCTATGTTCGTAGAGTTCACATGAAGAGCAGGAGATGAGCAAGGAATGGATCTAGAACACACTCAGAGTGGGAAGTGTTGGAGGAGAAATGAGGTTAATGCAGGGTGTTGACAGGGCATACTTGATTGAAGGTGTCCCTCTAGTGGGGGACTTGGATGGAGTGGAGGAAGGAGTCTGAGAAAAGTGGGCAGGCAGGATGCATTTCAGGCTGAGGGAACAAGGGCAAAGGAACAAATGTGATGAGCGAGAGGAAGAGCAGAAGAGGAAGTGAGGTGGGAGAGGCGAGCTGGCCCACCCAGGAGGGTGCCAGGAGCCGCAGGCTTTGCCAGTGCTGGGGGAGCCCTGGAGAGAGCTGTACTGACGAAGCTCGTGTGCTTTTTCCTGTCCTACAGACGGGGGCTGAGACAGAGGTCACTGTCTTTCCAGAGGTCACTCGGGAAGTGTGGCAGCTCCAGCTTTGCACGGTGACACCCTGGCCCAACATTCGAATCTTGGCCCTCCTTGCAGCCACTACAGTGCTGATACCCCTTAGGCTGGAGAAGAGGAGGGGGCTGTACCCCCACCCATAGGGCCCCCAACACTTCAGTGTGAGCCAGTGAAAGCCCCAGTGGTACCTGGTAGGCTATAGGCTCTGGGGTTTTACTAGGTGGAAATAACTGAGTTCCTCTCCAACGGGACCCCAAGGGCGGCCATGGCACACGTAGCCTGGCTCGATTCACTGTTTAATCACTCAACTGAAAGACCAAATAAAAAATCAAATAAATCATAAGAGTTAAAAAAAATAAAAAGAATTTAAAGATCATCTGTACTTACAAAAGCTGGATGCCAGGTTCCACATTAAATGGTTAAGATGCATTCTTACTAAGAAATAAAGCATTTATCTATTCCTGTTTTATGAATGATCAAACTGAATAAAAAATGTAAGTAACTTAAAAAAAACCTACAGACCTCCCTGGATGCCACAGCAAGCCCCCAGGCATGCCCATCCAGGGCCGAGGGTGGTGGGCATGGCCACCCTGACCCAGCCTTGGAGTTCTGGCTCTCGCCTTTCCCAGATTAGCACCTTCAAACCCAGAAAGTTCCCGACTAGCCCTGGTGCCTTGCCCCCTTCTTGTTTTCCCTTTCCTGGGAAACCTCTTCTTGGAACTGATGGTTCAGACCTTCTCTGTTTGTCCTGGATTTGACAGTTTTAATTGCCCTCCTAGGATGGGCCATGCCGGCTGGCCACAAATGCCCAACAGAGGGACTCTGTCCTGAAGGCGCCTAGAGCCAGAGGCTGAAAGTGGCCTCCTGGGAAGCTGAAGGCTGGGGCTGGTGCAGAGAGTGGACGCCGGGAGAGCAGGATCTTGTCTGTGTCACCCAGGGGGCGCGTCCTCGGGGACTAGAATACATATAATCCCATGCACACAGCAGGAGCCCAGAGCAAATCCGTCCACTGAACGAATCTGCCCGAGCAAGCACGGGTTTTGGGAGACACAGCCTGCGAGCACCCCTCTCCAGGGGCACGCAGCTGGGGATCACATGGAGAGGCGGTAAGTGGGTCCCACCTGCAGAGATCCTAGTTGGACTGGGCTGCGGGGCACTTTGGGGAATGGGGGTGGATGCAGGCTCCCCAGAAATGCCAATGTGGGGCCCGGGCTGAGTGCTGCTGTGCCAGGATTCCCGGCGGAGCTCGGGGCATGCAGGAGGGGCTGCAACTGCGTCAAACACCTGGCCAGGAGAGCTGAGAGCCTGCCCCCTCCTCAGGCATCCTGCAGGAGGTCCCCAGTGTACCCTCTTCCCCGGCTCCCCTCTTCTGTGCCCTGCTCTGCTGCCCCGTCTAGCGGTCTCACCCCTTCATGACCGTCTCTGATTGCTGCGACTCCCTCACCCCTGACCGAGCGCCCCCATCCCTCCCCCCACGAAAAAATTGATCAGCCCATCAATTAACTGTGTCCTAATCCAATCTTGGCTTGGTGGGAGCGAGGGCAGTAAATCCAGCTGGGTAATCATGCCCTGATATTTGTGTAGGGATAATTGCTATCTCTCAGGCCTCACTCGGTGGCAAGATGAGATGAAAACCCATAAAACACCACTCAGGGCTGGGGCTCATTGTTTCTTGGCTGCACAGAGCTGGAGGGCTGCCAGGCCCGCCCACCCCTGCCCCTGGCACGGACCCCAACCTCTTTCCCTCCATTCATGCATCTGGCAGGGCTCAAGATTAGGGGAAGTCTAGGGGCCGGATCCTGGCGGGGCTCAGCAGTGTGACAGCCTGCATGCATCTGCGTGTGCGCACAGTATGTGTCTGTACGGGGCAGTAAAGGTGGTCTCCAGAGCCAGGCAGACCTGCCTTCAGGACAGGAGCACTATCATTGATAATCTCAATTGTGCGTCACAGTGCATGAAGGGGAAGGTCCAGAGCTGTCGACAGGCGGGTCTGGAATACCGGAAGACCAACCTGGGAGGCTGCTGCCCTCTGATAGAATCCTGTGCCTGTCCAGCATGGCCCATAGGAGCTCAGGGCCTTGTCCCCACCTGGGGACTGTTGGCCAAGGGACACCACCAGATGCAATGATGGCCTGGGTTGGATGTGACCCACAAGGGCAGTCCTCAATCTATCAGTCGAGGTCAGGACTGAGAGAATATGTGTGAGTAGGGGCTGGGAAACCGCTAAACGCTGCCCCATCTCCCCCACCAATGTATAAGGCACTGAGTATCCCCCCAACCCCCCATCCGTGAGGCTCTTTCCCCACTCTGGGAGCCCCTGAATTTAGGACTGAGCAAGGCTCCCTCCCAGTGGTTGGTGAAAAGCAGGGGTAGCAAAGCCCTGACTCTTGGCACTGACAAGGTATGTGGGCCTAGGTGAGTCACGTGAGCTGTGTGCCTCAGTCTCCTCGGCTACAGAGTGTGTGTGTGTGTGGTGGTGGTGGGGGGGCACCAGTGTGGACTGAACGGCCCGCACCCTTGACAGGTTCACTGAGATGATGAACGTGAAGCCTTGGTCGAGGGCCTGTCCCCAGCAGGCACCCTCAGTGTCCCGGGGCCACCACAACCTGTGTTTCTTCCTACTTAGCCTACCCCCAGCCCTCCCTGAGTGGGGTCCCCTCCCCATTACCCAGAGAGCCACCTGGGCCAGCAGCATCACCCCAGCCCCCAAGCATGTGAGTAGACTTGCATGCTCCCCAGCAATCCCTCCCCCCTTCATCTCTTTAGCTGGTCACTCCCTTGGTTTCTCTGTCAAGCCCAGATGAAATGCAATGGGGCAAATACCAACCCCCCCCCGCCACCCCACCCCATCACATCTATTCATTGCTTGGCCTCTGGCATCTCCTGTCTGGCACAGAGTGGGTGCTCGTCCACCTGAACTTGTGCTCAGCTGAAAGTTGCAGCAAGGATGGGGTGGAGTGTGTGTGTGTGTGTGTGTGTGTGTGTGTGTGTGTGTGTGTGTGTGGTCTCCTTTCTATGTGCAGGACAGCCTGATGGAGGGTGGAATGCTGAGGACAGGCAGTGCCGAGGTGCCTAGAGGAGCCAGGGAGGAAGGCAGGGGTCAGGGAGAGGCGTCCCATACTCACCAGAGAAGGCGTTGTTGGTGTTGAGGAAGTAGATCTCCTCCCGGCCGTCCCCGTCAATGTCGCAGGCTGTGACCCCGATGGCGTAGCCCTGCCGGTCACGCAGAGCGTAGTAGGGGGAGCTGCGCTCATCCACTGCGATGTTCACCAGCCGTTTCTGAGTCCCATCATACTTCAGAACCAGGTTGGGACCATTGTACCTGCGGGAGGGAGGGGTCACTGGGGGGGGGGCTCAGAGCCTCCCACCCCGTCACTCAGCCTCAAGGAATACCTGGGAACCCTGGCGGCCCCCTCAGGGGTCTGAGAGTCTGACATGTGTTCCCAGGCAGTCGGGGACCAAGGCAGACTGGCCATCAACTGGACTTCTCCTGAGATGCAGATGACCATCCATCCCCTCCTGACCTGAATCTGGACCATTTCAACAACAAAAAAATCACTTTCTTGTCTCTGAGTTCCTCTGTTCAAATCCAACCTCCAGCAACAAAGGCCCAAGACACAGCAGGAACCCCCTGTTTAACAGAGGAGACCCCTGAGGACTTTCCTCAGGGACTCAGAGTCTCAGAGCAGTTGAGTGTCCTTCCCAAGGCAACAAGCAAGTGCCAGAACTGGAATCCCGGGCCTCTGTGCTCTCCCGGGATGGCCTGAGGGGGCCCCGGGAGAGCAGAAGACAGTGGGGAAGGGTGACTCCAGACCTGGAAAGGCCCAGCATAGAAAGAGCATCGAAAGTGGGCATCTCACTTGGGTCACCACGAGCCCTTCTGAAGCTCCTGGTGCACATACTGCTGCTTCTCTGGTGCTGAGTGAGGACAAAACTCCTGGCGTTTCTCCTGCAGCTGTGGTCTGCTCAGAGCCTGCTCCCTCCTTCCCCAGGGCTGTCACACTCACTGTCCCTCCACCAAGGATGCTTTTCCTGCACAGATCCACGTGGCCATGGCCGTCTTCAATGCCTCCCTCTCCCCCGCCCCGCCTCTGTCTGACTGTCCTGCTCCATGGGTGCCTATCTCCCACACCCTCAAAACCTGCAACCATCCCCACGAACCCTTCCCTCACCGCTGCTTTACTCCCAAGGCTTCCACCCTATGGGACAATCCCCTCCTTTCCTCCTCACGCGGATTCCACTAGAACCTTAGCACACCAGGGCAGAATTCTTGGCTTGGTTCCCCAGGCCAGCACCAGCATTTGGCACACAGTAGGTACTTTGAAAAATACCTGTTGACTAATTTACTAAAAGACACCTCTGAGTTCCCTGTTTGGTTTATTTTTTTCATTTTTTATAATTTTATTTATTGAATCACCGTGGTTTATTAAAAATTTTTTTTTAATGAAACACCATGAGATACAATTACAGACCTACACACTTTCGTGATTATTTTTCAGTCATACAATGGTTGCGCACCCGTGCCTCCACCAGTGCCTTTCTCCACCACCAATATTCCCAGTATTCCTTCTGCCACCCCCACCCCATCCCCCCTTGCCTCTGTGGCAGGCACAGTCCCTTTTACTCTCTCTCTTTCTCTCTCTCTCTCTCTCTCTCTCTCTCTCTCTCTCTCTCTCTCTCCTTTTGGGTGTTGTAGTTTGCAATACAGGTAATAAGTGACCATCATGTTCGGCCTGTAGTCTACTTTGAGCATGCATCTCCCATCCTGAGTGAGCCCTCCAAGCATCCTTTGCTTGGTGGTCCCTTCTCTACCTGTGCTGCCTTTCCCCCCAGCATGTGAGGTCAGTTTCCAAGCTGTGGAGGAATCCTCCTGGTCCATCTCTCTACTATCCTCTGAGATTCCTGTTGATTCCTAAGGTGTCGGTGTCAAGGTCGCCTTTGCACCTGGAAAAAGTGTATGTGCCTAAGGTGACCCCAGGCAGCACGCCCAGCAATGTCTGAAAGTCCCCCTCCCCCCAGCCCCCCTCCCACTCCTCGCCTCTTAGGAATCGGGACTGGCCAAGTCTCTTCAGAGGAACCCAGCCAAACCCCAGCTATTAGTCCCCTGCCTCTGCCTTTGTCTGAACCGAGCGTGGACATCCTGAGTGAAGTTCTGCTGCCAGCCTGGGCCGGGCCCTGGCTGAGAACCTGAGGGGAGGAGAGAACTGAAAGGACTCTGCAAGGCCTTTGAGAGAAATCGCTCCGGCTTTCCTGAAACACATCCAACTTGGCCCTCTCCTCTGTCACCAAGATGCACAGCCAGAGAAGTTTGGGAGAGGCCGAGCAACTGGCTGGGTGCCTCCTGGCACCTGCTGTGTGTGCGAGAGGAGATGAAATGTATGGGGGGGGGCTGAGTCAGCACCCCGAGACAGAAGGTCGGGCCTGGGACACTGTGACATGCAGAGAAGGCCTGAAGGCCCCGTGCCTAGGGTGCAGTGTGACCTATGGGACAAAACTTCTGTCCCAATCCCGCCAGCAGCTCATTTCAGCCCTGGGAAGAGCAGGTGCCTCTGGGTGCTGACCATAAGGCCTCACAGCCTCCAGGTTTTCTGTTTCTCCCACGGCCCCTGTGCTGCACAGACACCCAGAATCTTGGCACTCTTGTCCGCTCAAAGCATTTACAGGCACTCTCTCATCTGAGCCTCCTCGAACCCAGAAGGTAGGTTGGGGGCCTTTCCCTGGCAAAGGAAACTGAGGGACAGAGTTGCCAAGTGAGCTGATGGTGGCATATCTGGACCACAGGCCTCTGTCTCCAAGGCCTAGATCTTGGGTCCTCCCCAAGCGATGATGCCCACATACCTGATACACTTCACTTTCTCCTGCTGGAGAAAAGAGGGCCCAGGACAGGTACCCCAGAACTTCATGCAAACAGTGGAGAAGTAACCCCAAGGCCTAAAGCACTTTTCCAGATCCTAAATCACTTTCTCAGGCTGGTTACATTTGCTTCCTGCAGATCTTGCCTCTGTAGAGATGAGTGTGAGGGTCTTTGGCCCATCAGCCCCCTCTCTAGGTTACGACTTTGTTTTCCTTCTGCAAAAATGAAAGCATCAAATTGAACCAGAGGGTCATGAACTGTGTGGACAGCTGTGGCTGTAGGTGGACCTTGGGGATCTTTTCAATCTTTCTGCTAAAGTGTTTCCATGTGGGCGTTGTATGGAATGCCTCAGATTTCACAAAATGCTGAAATAAGAGTGGCCAAAGAGACAGAACAGTGGAGAAGACACTTGTCTCACACACGACTGACATGGGTTTAATCCCCAGCATCCTGTATGGTTCCCTGAGCATTGCCAGAAGTGATCCCTGAGCACAGCTGGGTATGGGTCACTGCACTGCTCCATGCCCCAACTCAAATTGTTGAAATAAGGGATTCCAGTGCAGGAAAGGTCTGGAAGCAGAAGTTCTGAGAGAGCCCACCCCGGACTGGGTTTCTCGGTGCACTAACTTAACTTGAATCTTGGGAGGTGGTAAAGTGGGTACCTTCTGGTCCAGGCTATAGGAGCACCAAATACCTCTGCACCTCCCCACCCCCACCCCATGGGTCTCTGTGGCTCCTTCCTCCCCTCGGCAGGCTCCCATTAGGAGTAAGGGGCAGTAGCTGGGGGAGGAGGTCACATGGCCATGGTGCATCTCTGTTGGAAAAACTCCAGTTCTGTGGCAGCCCCTAAGGGAACAGTAGGGTGGGGTGCTAGGTAGGCCCTCATGGCTCTGTAGAATTCCCCACCTGCATGGAAATCTGGGCTGAGTCCCGACACCTGAGCCACTGTCCCTCACCTAGAAGGCCCACAGCTCAAGCACGGTCTAAGGTGGGGCTCTTGACAGGCGTGAAACATGTATCAGAAGTGGTTGCTCCATGCTGCCGCCCAAGCTGCCCTAGGAGCTCTACAGGGCCACTCACTGGTCCCCCAAGCTTGCTCCTGCCCTTTATCTCCATGCAGCAGAGCAGAAGCTGCTGTTGGAGTACTCGCCTTTCCCTGAGCAGGCCCAGCCTTTGGCCAAACAGTGGAGATAGTAGCCCCGTGTCCTATAGCACTTTCCCAGGTCCTAAAGCACTTTCCCAGCCTTGGTTCCCTTTGTCTCCTGCAGATCTTGTCTCCACAGAGATGAGAATCATTCTAGGTTCAGCCAAGGCAAATGTGCTTCCGGGTCAAATAGCACAGGTGTGCACAAAAGGAACGCCACTGGTCCGCAGAATCCTCAGTCCTCACAGGAGTGAGCCGGGTAAAAACAAAACAAAACAAAACAAAACAAAACAAAAGCTCCAATATGCTCAAGGCATGCAGAGACTAGTCTCAGTGAAGGCAGTGGGGGCAGGCCTGGTGGGAGAACAAGAGAGTGAGGCGAGCATTCCCATGGGAGGGCAGTGGGCAGCAGCTGAGCAAAGCCACAGAAGCCTCTAATGAGTTCGAATTCCCAAGCCACCCAGTGCCTCCAGGAGGTCTTGCTGCATCTGGGTCCCTAGTGAGGGAGAAAGATCAGGGGGGCATCCCGAGAGCAGTGACCAGGAGCCAGGCACCCTGCCGTCTCATTTCCTCGTGTCCACCCACCCAGAATCTCTCCTGGCAGACCAGGACCAGGATGTGGGCTGTGTGGAATCTCACATTCTGCTCTCTGACATCTGCTGCGGAGTGCTGGGTGCACTGAGAAATTCAAGAGGCTTTGGAGCTCGGCTTGATAGGGTTAGGAAGCGGGCTGGGGGCCCACGCTCTCGATAAGCAGCTGGGACTTGTTCACAGCCAGCGGGCAGAAGGCATTGGCTTGGGGGCAAATGGCTTGAGAGACACTGGCATGATGCACTCATGACTCGCCACCAGCCACTGCCCTGGGACAGGTCAGCAGGGCACCGCGACACCTGGGGTGAGTCCAGGGCAGCTTCCTGCTGCTCTGCCCTTGAGCCAGCTGCTCACTGCTCCCGGCTCCTGCTCTCCGTCTCCCGCGGCCCCAGCTCTGTACCTCACAGGATAGCTGTGAGCAGAAGTGAGACGGCGTGTGTGACAACACTAGTAAACTGTGAAGACTTCCCCACTTGTAAGTTCTCTCCATTATGAAAAACAAACAAAATCCGAGAATCCCCCTCTCACTCTCCACTGGTCCCTGTGTTTCCAGACACACGTGGGTCTTTCTGCTCGGAGAACAGCCCCCCCTCCCCCCGTCATCTGCAGGGAGAGCTTGGCGGGCCCAGGACCAAACGTCTCCAAGAGTGGTCTCTCTAGCTGCCCATGAACTCTTTGGACGTGGCCACCCCACCTCCCGCTGCTCACTCCAGCAAGGGCACTTGCACCCTCC